TTGTATATCGTAATTTTTTGTCCTTAATTCTAAGGATACAAATACTTAATTTTAGAGATACAAATAAATATACAGATTACAAGATTACAACCAGCTGTAAATAAGTGTTTTCTCACACTCCCCATCAAGCTGGTGAATAGGTTTTTTCCATTCTTAGCTTTGAAATAATTTCTTGAAATGTTGCACTGCTAAGACCTTTAGTCAACATATCTGCAAGTTGACCCTTGGTTGATACATAAGGTGTACAAATCAACAAACTGTCTGGTTTCACCTTTATGAAATGCTGGTCTACTTCAATGTGTTTTGTTCTGTCATGTTGCATAGGATTGTGTGCAATGCTTATTGCAGACTTGTTATCACAGTAGAGTCTTATTGGTCCATCCCACTCGATCTTCAAGTCATCTAGGATAATCTTTAACCATAGTAGTTCACGAATTCCTTGAGCCATTACTTTGAACTTTGCTTCAGCATTTGATCTTGCCACCACATTTTATTTTTTACTCCTCCAAGTCACAAGATTACCACCTAAGAAAGTGCAGTAGCCTGAAGTGGATCTTCTATCAGTTACTGAACTTGCATAATCAACATCTGTATATGTTTCTAGAACTAGCCCTGAATTTATTTTGAATAAGATACCTCTCCCAGGATTAATGCAATATACGGTAGACAGCCTGTAGGTGCACTTTTTTAGGACTATGCATAAATTGACATACCACACTCACAACATATGCTATATCAGGTCTAGTATGTGAGAGATAAATAAGTCTTCCAACTAATCTTTGGTACATCTCTCTATCTACAACAGCATCTTCATTAACTTCTCCAATTTTATGATTAGGATCTATAGGGGTATTTGCAGGTTTACATGCGAGCTTCCCACTTTCCTTCAGAAGATCCATCATATATTTCTGTTGTGAGATGAAAATACCATGTCGTGAGTGAGCTACTTCTATTCCTATGAAGTATTTCAATCTCCCTAGCTCTTTTATCTCAAATTCTCTAGCCAAACACTGTTTTAGAGATTCTCTCTCTTTTTCATCATCTCCAGTTACAATTATATCATCAACATACAACTGTGACTCTTTCTGAATCAAAGTGCTTGATAAATAATGTGTGATCTCCTTGACTCTGTTTATATCCCATTGCTAGCATCACTTTGGCAAATCTCTCGAACCAAGCCTTAGGAAACTGTTTAAGGCCATGTAAAGCCTTTTTCAGCTTGCATACTTTGTTTGCTTCTAGATGGCCTCCAAATCCCGGTGGAACCTTCATATATATTTCTTCTTCCAAATCACCATGTAGAAAAGCATTCTTTACATCAAATTGTTGAAGTTGCCAATTGTAATTTGCAGTCAATGATAACAAAATCCTAACTATATTCATCTTGGCAACTGGAGCAAAGGTTTCCTGATAATCCACTCTATAGGTTTGAGTGTAGCCTTTAGCCACTAACCTGGTTTTATACCTTTCAACAGTACCATTTGTCTTGTATTTTACAGTGAAAACCCATTTATACCCCACTGGATTTTTTCCTTGAGGCAACTCTAACCGTTCTCATGTTTTATTTTTCTCAAAGGCCTCCATTTCTATTTTCATTGCTTGCCTCCATTTCTCATTGGATAATGCCTCGGATAATGTAGTTGGAACAAAAATAGTGTTTAGGCTCACAAGAAAATTTTTGTGGGATGGTGAAAATTTTTTAAATGACACAAACTTAGAGATTGGGTATAGTAAATGCTTAGTACATTATCTGGTTTCTTTCCTAATGTCAATAGGCAGATAATAATCACTAGTTATAGTTTTAGGAGATTCATGCTCATTTTGAGAAACAGAGTAAAAAATTGTAGTTACCTCATTTTCAGAGTTAGGATCAGGTTCTTAGACTAGTACTGGTTCAAGATTTGGAACTTTTCTTCTTGAGTACACTTGTAATTCCTTCATAGGATCAAGAACAATATTATCCTTTGTCACATCTTTTGTATTTGGAATGGGTTCAGACTCAAATTCAATGTTTGACTTGGGCTCAGCAGAAATAGGTTTCGACTTAGAAGAATTAATGGGTGAAAATGTTGAATAAGAGGATAAATCAAGCAAAAAGAAGTCTTTATCCTTATCTTCCATGAATGAAGTCTCCCCCTAATGATAAGGTTGAGTAAAAAATAGTTTACTTTCTTCAAAAGTGACATCTGCAGATACATAGAATTTTTTGATAGGAGGATGATAGCATTTATACCCTTTCTGAGTTGTGAATATCCCACAAAGGTACACTTAATCGCTCTTGGATCAAACTTTTCCTTATTATGATTGTGAACATGAACAAATGATGTACAACCAAATATCCTAGGTGTAAGGTTGTTTGTGGTATTAAGGTTGGGATAGAATTGTGATAGTAGTTCTATAGGAGTTTTAAATCCCAAAACCCTTAAAGGTAACCTATTTATAATGTGTGTGATAATGAGAACAGCTTCCTCCCAATAAGATTTGGGTACATTTGCTTGAAAAAGGAAAGATCGGGTTGTGGCTAGTAAATGGGCTGTTTTTCCTCTCTACCACTCCATTCTGCTGTAGAGTATTAACACAGGATGACTCATGGATAATCCCCTCTTTTTGGAAATAGGTGGATAGACTCTGGTTGAAATAGTCTCCTGCATAATTAGATCTAAATCTCTTGATTCTCACTCCAAATTCATTTTGGATCATGTTTTGGAAGCTTAAAAACACGCTATTCACATCTGATTTGGATTTAAGTAAAAAAATCCAAGAGACCTTGGTACAATCATCATTGAATGAAACAAACTATCTTGCACCAGAAATATTAGGAATTGTAGAGGGACCCCGAATGTCATTATGAATCAAGTAAAAGGGAGTAGAATTTCTTTTGTTACTAATTGGAAAAGACACACGTCTGTGCTTTTCAAGTTCACAAACATCACAATGAAAATCTTCGACACTTAATCCTTTGAACAAAGAAGGAAACATATTTCTCAAAATTCCAAAAGAAGGATGTCCAAGACGAAAATGATAAAGCTAGATTTTGTCTTTATTGGAAGATTTTTTAGAAAGAAATGACAAAGGTAAACTATTCTTGATATTACTTGTGTTATTTGATGTCTTAAGATAGTATAGTCCATCCTTTTCCTTAGCAAGTCCAATCCTCTTTCCCGAACTCCGGTCCTTAAATTCACAATAAGAGGGATAAAAAGTCACTTTGCAATTCATATCTCTGGTAAGTTTTTGTATAGATATCAAATTAGTAGACAATCCAGGAACATGAAGAACATTTTTGAGAACAAACGATGGATTAACTTGAACATCTCCTAATCTTGCCACTATAGTAAGTGAATCATTTGCAACAGCAATTTTCTTATTACTAGGACACAGGGTATATGTACTAAATTTCTGTGAGGAATGTGTCATATGGTCTATGGCTCCTGAGTCAATGACCCAATAACTCGTAATAGGCTTAACCGAGACATTTAATCCATGAGAACCAGAAGCTTTGCCTGAACTAGAGACTTTACCCAATGAACATACCACAGTAGGCTTTTCAAGGGTTTTCAATAGGTTTCTCAGCTTTTCAATCCCTTTTTGTTGAACTCTCCTTGTTTCCAAGACATCTGTAGTACTTCGGTTATTTTCCCAGTTGACATTTCCTCAAATTGGGTGGTAGTGATATCTTTCTTTGAACTGAAACAAGTCTTAGGATATAACCAGAAATGACTCTTAACAATGAAGGCTAAAAAAGGGAAAAATAGAATGGCTATGAAGGCCTTAATAGGGTTCAACAATGAAGACCTAAACAGGGTTCGGCAATGAAGGCCTAAAATAGAAGTCAGCAATGTGAAAATTAGAAAATTTTGCTTCCCAAGAAGAGCCTAAAGCTTTGATACCATGTGGAAAAACTAAAAAATAAAACTGTGTAAAAACTAAGAATAAAATTGAATGTATATTGAAAAACTGCTCATTAAGAATTATACAAGAACCTTAGGTTTATATATAACTAACTATGGGTTAAACTAGGAAACTAAATCTTCCAAAAAATTGATCCTATAATTGAGGGATTGTCTATCATAATTTTTTGTCCTTAATTCTAAGGATACAAATACTTAATTTCTAGAGATACAAATAAATATACAGATTACAAGATTACAACCAGCTATAAATAAGTGTTTTCCCACACTATCAAAACCCATGCCAGTCCCTCAAGGTTTTTTATGAGCCTGTGCACCAGCTCCCTTTTTGTGGCTCAAGGTTCATAATAGGGAGCTGTGTGCTCCTTATTTTTGTGGATGAGATGCCTATCTGCAGTACTGTTTCTTTTCTCGTTGCAGTAAATCAAGATCCTTAAACTGGAGACCAATGTTTTCTCTGTATAAATGCTTGTAATGTACATTTGGGTCCTCATTTGGGTATATAATGCCTTAAAGGCACCTATCAGCCATGTATTGTTTGCAGTTAAAACAGCGTTAGATGCAAAGCACTTCTTGAAAGAAAGGGTTTTAAATGATATCATGTGCATGGAAATAATTATGGGGTAGACCTAGAGGAATGACTATATGAATCTCTTATCTCTGCACATCTATGATCTAAATAAACTAATTCTTTTTCTGATTGCTTCAACTCATATGCACTTTACTATACCTCTATCTTGCCTCATTCTGGTGGAGCACCTGAGGAGAAAATTATGCCATTGATTTTTTTTTTTTTTTCTGAATTCTACAAACATCTAGCATCTAAGTTTCTTGATCTAATAAAAACATATATTTTTCATTTGCAATGCTGCAACCTTCTTATGATTGAAATTAAAGTTTTGAGAGTTTAAAGCTTGCATTTATCGTCATTTATGAACTGTGCTTGGCTTTGCTATTTGCTACATTTTTCATTTAAATTATGGCCAGCAAAAATAAATCAAGGGCTGATTTAAGAGAGTGCTCTTTCTGTTTCTGTTCTCTATAACTTTATCGCAATTGCTAAATGTGTTGTTCTTGTACTGTGAACAGAGTGTGGCATATGATAGATCCAGTGCACCCAAGGACTGCCGTGTCTCTGGCTGGCTGCAAGGTCGTGATCTCAATTTACCGGTTGATGCTAATAAGATGTTTCTTTTGGCAGAATTCACGTATGACCTTGAGAAGAGTAATGCTCAGACCTTTGATATATTGGATGCAGCAGGTGTTGGCATTGTTGACACAGTCAGGCTGGATTTCTCTTCCAACCATGGAAGCCCTTCATATACTTGCATATATCGATTGAGGGTGCATGGTCATGGGCTCGATTCTGTTTCAATGGTAAAAATGCAGCCTTAATGCAAATCATACTTTTGCAATCTGCATTCCTCTTGTAATTTTTGTTCGTCTATTTATATAACTGAATAGTACTTAGGTCTTTCCACTTACTAGATACAGATTCCTTATCCTGTCAAGGTTTTCTTGTGTAGCAAATGAGTGTGAATCTACCTTTGTGTTTCCAGTTAGGCTGTACTTGAATTAAGAACAATGATCTATATGAACCAGAAATAGATGAGCTTTAGTCTCCTGGGAGGAGAAGTTCGATAGACCGAGACAATAGTTTCAGCTATTCATTTCCTGGGCAATAGTTGGATTGTCCGAAATGGTACAAATGTATTAAAGAACAAACTGTAAGTTTTTACGATTTTTTTTAGGTTACGATTGGGGTTCAAATTCGAGATTTTCATTCTTAGAGCCAACTTCAATGCTTTAGTAGCTTTTACAGTTATGAATGGTCGAATTGCTGGATATTTTAGCAGCCGTGTTTTGTTTTATTGTATTCAAAGATGAAAGTAATGATTGCTGAAGAAAGTGTTACTGATCTGTAATGTACAAAAAAAAGGGGAGGGAAAAATGCCTTTGCTTTGCTGGATAGGGAACAAAGGTTTCTTCAAAGTTTTAGAGTCATGCATGCTAAGGGATACTATAATACTATATATGAATGAAAATGAATTGTTTGATGACTAAATTTTAACTTCTAAGCGTGGTTTCGGCGGTCGGGGACGGTCATCCGAGCTCAATGGTATGTGCAAGTTGTCAATGATACTCGGCTCAGTAAGATGGAAGAGGTTATAAAATTTTAAAGCTCTAGGTTTAAATTTCACTAAATGTAAGTTTGATTCAATTTTATATTGAATTTATTTAATTATATTTTAATTTGTTAAATAATTTATTTGTTTGATTATTCAGTAATTTTTATATAATAATGTAACATTTGATAATTTCTCTAATTATAATTATAATTTGTGCCTAAAATTTCAAAAAAAACAAAAATAATGTGCATATATTCCATCACTTATAAAAGAATTTCAATTCTCTTTGACAGAAGAGAACGTATATACATATATATATATATATGTGTACACGTGTGTAAAACGATTGTAATCTGTAAATAAGAGTAAGGGTTACAATTATTAAAATTTGAATTTTAAATTTATTAAATATATTTTTTTAAAATTATTATATGAATTTTAATTCTTCGAAGAGAATATATGTATATGTATATGTGTGTGTAAAAGGATTGTAACCTGTAAATAAGAGAAAGGGTTGTAATTATTAAAATTTGAATTTTAAATTTATTAAATATATATTTTTAAAATTATTATATAAATCAATTAAATTTTAAGTTTTTTAAAAAATAGCTTTGACACTAATAAATTGTAAACTTCAAAATCAATCGAGCTGATAAAAAAAAAAGGTAATGGAACTATTTGGGTAAGTCTATAATGCTATAAACATTTGAATTAAAGATTTATTGTTTATATAAAACTCCTTTTTTATTAAGTTTTAAGAAAATTATCGCATTTGAACATTTAATTTAATGATAGGTAGATATATTTGTTGCTTTACAGGTAGCTTTCAAATTTCTCGTTCCCTCGAATTAAAAACAAAAAAGAATTCGTAGTAAAAGCTATGTGAATGGACTCCTTACTAGAAATAATATGAACTTTGCATGAATATTAAAAGATGAGATAGATACGAATAAACTTATAAAATAATAAATGAATTAAAAAAATAATATAAAATAATTTATATTTTAAAAGAATTAATTAAAAATGTTACTGTAAGTAGATGAGATAAATTGTAAACTTCATATTATTTTGAGTAAAATAGATTAAAAATGTCGTAGCATTTATGATAAAGTTATGATAATTTTAAATGTAATGAAATGTTAAAATTAATGTAAAAAGACTTTATTATAACATAATAATTAATTTGATAATATAAAATTTAAATTAATAATTTTTGCTATAAATATGTAAGGATAATTGCTACAAAAAAATAACATTCACCACATTGCTAAATGCATTGTTCACCATAAATACTGATAGTCATGTTGAAAAATGATATTATTTGATTTTAACACAATAAACTTGAAAAAAAACAAATGATTGTTATAAGGATATCAATGTAATTTTACCCATTTATATGGATATTGAAGTTGCAATTTTAATGGAGTAGGATATCAACCATAAATGACATTTAATTAACACAAGAATTAAAGGGGTGAATAGAACTTATGATGTGTATACTCTCTTTATCATATTCTCAATTTCATTGATTCTATTTGATTTTTACATAAATTAAAATAAGTTTTGATACTGTAAGTAAATATGTCATGTAAGTAATTTTATTTTTGTATTAATATATGTGGTGATGCTTTTAAATCACTCTTTATAAGTAATGGTTCGAGTTGTTCTCTAAGTTGTGTATTTAATAATTTTTATTAATAAAATAAATAATTAGTTATTATTTTAGTATTTATTACATTTTGGTGCAAAAGGATCAATTCTCTTCAAGATTGATCTTTTTTCTCACATGAATCCTTTAGTAGCCATAAGATTTTATGATAGATAATAGAGTATTAGCGGCGAAATTTTCCACCACAAGAACTTTTATCAAAAAATAAAAATTATGTTAGATAATAATTTTAGTGACAGAATTTAGTAAATTTTCAACGAAAACTTCTGAAGTATTTTATTTTATTTTTTCAATGGAATACTTGTAAGGACTTCAATTTTTGAATGAAAATATTTCGTCGAAAATTCAATTAATAACATGTTTTAACAAAAGAATTTAGTGATTGAAACCAAACTTTAATAAAAAAAAAAATTGGGATGGACGGAAAATAACTCTAATAAGTGCAATGTAAAAAGTTTAGAACTATCCCAAACCTCGTATGTGAAACTTGAGTACATTTATGATCATAAAATTCAATGAAAAATAAAAGATCGCGAGAAATTAAAGAAGTTGTATCAAGTAATTGATTACGTTGAATGCCCAACCCCTCAGCCTTTGCAAAAGATTGCATACCTACATCCACGCAATTTTCACATGGATCTTTGGTTATACTTGAAAATGGAAATGAAACATAAATTGATAGAATAAAAAAATGAAAACTTTTAGGTGTACCATCCGGTTTTGTATTCTTATGCTGCAAACCAGTATATAAGTATTATAATTGTACCAACCAGCTTTGTCTTCTTATGCTGCAAACCAGTATATAAGTATGTGTCGATATATGCAACTGACCATCAAGCACGAAGTTGTCTTCTTTTGCTGCAAACCAGTATATAAGTATGTGTCGATATATGCAATTGACCATCAAGCACGAAGTAAAACCAAACCCAAAAGCTAAGGTTTTAGAAATTTGTAGGTTAAACCAAAAATGACTAGCTCACCGATTCCAGTGTACACACTGTGTCAGCTTTAGAATTATGCTGGTAAAAATCAATATGTAATGCTGGATAGCCAAAACTATTGGCATGGCTATGGAGATCCCCCAAAATCGATTCAAGATCAACAAGCCGGTGACTTTAAGCACAATACCGATTCTGAAGGTTCCATCGGTGGTGTTGCATATCTTCTCAAAGGCAATAAGCTTAAGTGGATTATTGCTTGGAGCAATGCTGAAAATGAGCCTAACAAGGTATTGATCTTAATTCCCATAGTATATTAATTTCATAATTTCAATTGGTATCTTAAAATTAACTCAATTTTTATTTTATTTCGAATTCATTCATATGTTGTGGTAATACACCATTAGAATTTGGATTAATTACTTTGCATTTTTGAACAAAAAATAAAACCAACCACGCCATTTAGATATTTGAAATGATTAAATAATTAATTATTTATGAATTGCAGGTCTATACTGAGATCATTGAAGGCAGCCAACCTATTGATTGGTTTCAAATCAAAGCCAGTCTTGGCAAATCTGGGAACCAAAGCAGCGACGATAATAAATTCGGAAACTTGTCTGAGGCTGTCTTCGATCAAACCGGTCCTACGCCAACATTGCTGGCAACACTCAGGCCAGCTGCTTAAGCAAGCTTTCCTTGCTGCTCGATGCTTATGTCTGAGGAAACTGTGGTGGTGAGGCTGTAAAAATAAAATATAGTAGTAGCTATTGGACTACTACTACTACTACTTATAATACTAAATAAATAAATTTGACAGCCAGCCAGCCAGCATTACTAGCTCTACTATCTAACGAATGTATGGTTAGTTTGTCTTTGTTATTTGCAATATTTCAAAGGCTTTTGAATTAATTATGTCATGTCTATATATGGTCATGACTATTTATAATATTTCAGTCTTTTTTTATGAATAAAAAATTCAAAACTTTTAATTATTCCTACTTATTTAACATTCAAGCTTCTCGATGGATCGTAATTGAATTATAGAAATTATTTTGAGCCACTTAAATTCTTATATTAATGATATTTTTATGAAATTAATGACATTACAATATCAAGTAAGAACATAAAGGTTATGAGAACTTTTTGTATAATTATTTTGGAAACTTTTATATTAGAAAATCTGAAAAAAAAATATGGTGAGACTTGGTAGGGAAGAAGTAGATTTTTTTTTCTTGTATGCAATACAAATAAAATTTAACAAAAATGATGTCATTTTGTATTATCATAGCAAAAGAAATGCAAATATATATATATATATATATATTACATCCAACTAAATCTTTAAATATTATATTTGTTTATTTAGCCCTGATTTAAATGAAAATGATTAAAATTCATTATTTTTATCATGTCAGCGTCTATTGTGTCAAAATTTATATAGCACACATGACAAAAAAAAAAATGGTTCTATAAATTTTGATGTGGCATGTCGTTAATAAACCTATGGTACATGTCAAGTAAATGTCAACTTATTAAGGATTTTCATATTTTTTTTTTCTTGTGGACATTGATTTAGAAAATAAAGATTACCTCCCAATTAATTAATTAAATTTTATAAATCATATATCTAGAAACTATTTCATTCAAATTTTAAAAACATATTTTTTATATTTTATCAATAATAAATATAAAATAATAGAAGATCAAAGTTTAAAGTATTAAAAAAATGTGACAATTTAATTGAAAAATGGGTGATTGATTTTTTCGGTTTTCATACAAAATAAAAAAGTTTAATTAGAAGAAATGAAACTTTAAGGGTTCAATTAAATATAATAAATACATAAAGGTTTTTTTTGAAAATTTTGAAAACTGTAGGGACATGATAATATTTTGGCCAAAAATTATTTAGTGTTACCCATTAAACGAAACAAAATTCCGACGACCCTGGAGTGAGAAAAGCTTGCAAACCAAAACCTAGTAGAACCCAAGTTCTTACAGTGAGTGAGAGCAAAAAGGAGAGACGCGTTCGGCGGCGATGGCTTCTGGAGGAAGAGGCGACGGTGGAGGAGTGGAGTGGCACGTTAGGCCACCAAATCCCAAAAACCCAATCGTATTTTTCGATATAACCATAGGTTCCATCCCAGCTGGTCGTATCAAAATAGAACTCTTCGCTGATATTGCCCCTAAAACCGCCGAAACTTTGAGGTCCTGCCACTCCCTTTCTTGTTTGTATGATTATTTTTCACTTTTTGTGATTTCTAATTTAATTTTGATTTTTTTCCCATCATACAGGCAGCTATGCACCGGCAAATACAAGTTTTTTAATCTTCAAAAATTTAGTTTTCAGCATCTTAGACCATTCTTTTGATTTGTTAAGCAGAAGCATGTAGTATTTGGGGTATGTTCTCTAACCTTTATTGCCGAATATATCCAGATTTTCCCACTTTCTTTAGAGTTAAATATTATTCTTAGAAATGACAAAGAATTGTTTTGTCCATGATCATTTTAGATGGTGCTTGGAGATAGTCTTCTTGTCGTTCGGAAGATAGAGAATGTGGCTGCTGGACCCAACAACAGGCCAAAACTACCATGCATCATAGCTGAGTGTGAGGAAATGTAAAACTTGATATCATTAACACCTATGCTGAAGAGTAAACCCTAAATGTTGCTGTAACCATTTTAGAGTTAATTTCCTCTAGATCTGCTGACATTTATACAGGTTTTCCCCTTTGGTTCAAATTGCTTGATTATCAAGATGTTGGCATTGGAATATTGACAAGATTTGCAGTATAATGTTAAATGATTGATGGAAATGAGATCATTGAATAGGAAATATACAGATGGTTGAAGTGCTAAATTGGACCACTGAATTACTGAAGCACTTATATAATAAAGGTGCTGGCGAGCTCCATTGAACTATATGGTTCTTCTGGCTAGCCTAGGAGATTCATTTAGCTGTTGTTTTTAACATATAAGAATAAAATAAAAGAACACATAAGAGTTCAAGATTGAGGAAATTTTTATCTGTAAGTAGGTATTAGATTGCTGGAGTAGTTGGTGAGATCAGTCTGTTTGGGTCCTGAAATATTTCCATACCCCTTCCTCTCTGATCTGGGAAATTTTACATGCTTCAAGAGGTTAAATTGTAGTTGAAGTTCAAGTATATTTTTATTAAGCGATAAGGGATTTTTGAGTTTTGTTTAGTGTATTCTTTTTACGGATCGGCTCAAGTAAATATATCTACGTTGGGCTTAATGAAATAATTTCGTCACTTATTGACTAGTAATCCATTGAGGCATAAATTTTGGGTAATTGACCACTCCTTAAAGGCAAGAAGAAATCTTACCAAATGAGTAAGATTGTCAAGTGTTTGGGGAATGTGGCCTGATAATTGAAACATAGGACAAGTTTTCTAATGCATCGGGTCAAACACAGGATTTCACTGACTTAACTAAAAACATAGGACAAGTGTTCCCCCAATAATTTATTGAATCGTAAGAAAAAAAAAAAGATTAAAACCAAAAGCCCAGAACTCAAAAATATAGTACAACATGAAATCATGGATGTTTGGAGGTAAAAGCTGATCCAATCATGAAATGGTACAGCACCCCAGAAGCAAGATTAGTGCTGTAGAATCATCTTGGCAGACTATTATTGCGCAATGGATTCTCCTTAAGTAACTCAGTTTTCCAGCACAAAGATTTTGAGAAATCTGATTAATGATCTTTTCTTGCTCATCCATAGCCAAGTAATCTGAAAAGTACTTGTGGTTGTTAGTTTTACGTTTCGGCCATCTGCAGACTTAAAGTTCTATCCTTTGGTTCCCTGGTAAAAATGTAAGAAAAATTTTCGACAAAGTAATACAACATAAGTAACCAATTAAAGAAGGATGAATTTTCAATTTTTCAACTGGTTCTATAAAGCCTGTTCAAAAGTTATAATGTAATCTAAAACATAATAAGATCGATACGAGATAAAAATAATATAAAAAATTATATTAAAGTGAACCAAGTTAAATTTTTAGTAAAATCCATATACAAGTTTAAGAAACAAAAATATATATATATATTTATTTGACATTTGACATAATTTTTGAGTAAAACAAAATACCAATATTAGAATTGTTAATACGAATAACTGTTTATGCACATTCCTCATCTACAAGTACTTCAATATGAGCACTTGGAACAGCCTCTTTGGTTCTTGGCACGTGTTTACGGAATCTGAGAGGAAAGAGAATTTTGTGAGGTTCAATCTTATTTGCAGAATAATCTGAACAAACAATACATCACCCAATAGCAAAAAATATGCTTTGGAGTTGCAGGGAACCTTGTATGATGTCCACTTTGCAGGCATTCCATTATTTTCGTTGTTTCTCTCAGCTCCCTGGTTAAAAAGAAGTATAGATAGACGAGAGCTCAAACTTAAAAGTAAAAATGGTTTTTTTGCTCACTGATTTGACTTCAACATTTATTGCCAATGTCAAAAATCTTGCTGGCCTGCCTTTCTGCAATGATAGGAATTTTACTTGTTATGTTGTGGAAAAAGATTTTAGATGGCAAACTGGCTGAGAAGAGCAATGAAACTTGCCATTTTCTCCTCTAGCCAGGACAGTTCCAAAACTTCGAATTGGTAACTTATCTTCCTTCAACTCCTCCTGCAGTATGGAAAAAAAAAAAAGATGATAAATAGAATAAAAAAATCTCTGTAAAAAAATCCGAGATTTAAATCAGTTAGATTCATGCAGAGTCAAACATAAAGAACACATTAAATACCATACCTCAGTAGCATTAGGTCCTCTATTGTACGTGCAAGAAATTTCTTGTAAGCATCCCTCGATTTCTCTATTGGTTGAGCATTACTGAAATTGCAGGAAGCTTAATTAGATCAACACATGCATGTAAATTGACAACAAGTATAAATGGATTTGTAGAACAAACATATGGGTCTCTTGTAAAGAACAAATTTGGGAAGTGTGAATGGATAGTGTCTATTGGCTTTGTAAAGACAAATTAATCAAATCGACATAATAGTACATTTAACTTAATTAGTTCATACAATCATACTTAAAAAACGATATTTAATAGATTTAAAGTTTAAATCCCAACACATGTAACTCTTTCCTCTATTCTCATGCTTTGATTCATTTGTATATATATAAAAAAAAGAAGCAAGAACTTTTTCTGCCATTCCTTAACAAAAAGACTTGTCAACAAAGAATGTAAACCTCGAACAAAAAAACGTGATTTACATAAAATGAAATGACTGTAGTATCAGTTGAATCAAATGATAGTTCTTTCATCAAATTATATTTATTAAACATTTTTTGTGAAATAAAATTATAATATTTTCATATTAAAATAGATAATATCTTATAAATTGAGTACAATTCTACATAACCAAATATGCTGAATGTGTCTTCTGAATACCATTTGCATCAAGGAAAATATAAATGATCTAAGCATCAATACCATGCTCAGCCTGCAATATAATTTCCATTTACACCAACTTTACAAACACTGATTCAATATTTTGGAATCAGAAAAAGAGATGAATTATTGAGGTTTGCATAATTGTATGCTTTCTATGTGTTCATTTAACATGTTGAGTAGTTTTTTTATAATTAAATTGATATGCAATTAAATTTGATAATTTTAAACATTATAGATAATATGACAAAAAAAT